CACCGCCATAGTATAATCCGGTGCCCCCACTATATCAGCAGGTGCCACCACAGGGCCCCCCAGTCTATCCTTAGCCCAGCCTAGTCCCTCTTCCACGGGACCCAACTCCTTCCCTGATTGACCCGGGCTACGTAGAGAGGTATAGGGGACTAAACCCTTCCACTTTTGCAGGGGAGTCCTCTTTTGAAGATGCCCAATACTGGTTGGCGGAGACAGAGAAGGCTTTCAAGACCTTAAGAGTGGTTCCTGAGCAGAGGGTTACTCTTGCTTCCTACATGCTGGTGGGGGAAGTAGATCGTTGGTGGGAGCTCAAGCAGACCACCCTGCCTACACTAGTCACTTGGGAACAGTTTTTAGCAGCCTTTCATGTGGAGTACCTTCCCGAGCACATCCAACATTTAAAGGAGACAGAGTTTGTTCAGCTGATCCAGGAAAACATGACGGTGTCGGAATATGCTTGTAAGTTCCTAGAGCTGGGCCGATACTCCCCTGAGACATTGATGGATGAGGGCAGAAGGGACAAGAGGTTCCAGTGGGGCCTCCGCCCAGAGATCAAGTAGCACTTATTGCTATTAGAGCTCAAGACATATTCAGCCGTTCTAGCAAAGGCGTAGATCGTGGAGAGGAGTTTCAACACCCTTTCTTAGTCAGCAGGGAGTCACAGACCCTCGGCTCCACCCCGCAGACCAGCACCTACTGCGCCTGTCCAATAAAATAAGAGGCCCAGACAAGTGATCCAGGTTCCACCTCAGGCTCCAGGGGCAGCACATGGCAAGATCTGTCAGCACTGCGGCAGGGATCACGGGGACCGACCATGCTATCGCCTCAACAACACTTGTCGCATATGTGGTAGTACCCAACACTATGTGAGAGAGTACCTGAGGAACCAGAACCAAAGAAGACCTCCTTTCCAGGACAGGGTGCGTGTCCCAGACAACAGTGAGTTAAAGAGAGACATCATGACAGAATCCTACAGCTCGAAGTTTGCCATACATCCCGGAAGCTCAAAAATGTACCAAACCATGCGACCCCGATTTTTGTGGAATGGGATGAAGAGGGACATAACTGACTTTGTATCTAAATACTTGGTATGTCAGCAGGTCAAGACAGAGCATCAATGCCCAGGCGGGTTACTTCAGCCCTTACCGATTCCGGAGTGGAAGTGGGAACATATCGCCATAGACTTCGTAATGGGATTACCCAAGGCACGTTCAGGACATGACGCCATCTGGGTAATTATTGACCGGCTTACTAAGTCTTCCCACTTCCTAGCCATCAGGATAACCGATCCCTTGGACAAGTTGGCAAGAATGTATATCCAAAAAATAGTCAGATTGCATGAATTTCCAGTGACAGTGGTATCCGACAGGGACCCCAGGTTCACTTCTCGGTTTTAGAGTAGCTTTCAGCAGGCCATGAGAACAAAGCTGTCCTTCAGTACTGCCTTTCATCCTCAGACTGATGGACAATCAGAAAGGATAATCTGTACACTTGAGGATATGCTCCGAGCTTGTGTCCTTGACTCTGGGGGCCATTGGGATGACCATCTACCCCTGATAGAATTTGCTTACAACAACAGCTACCAAGTGAGCATTGGTTTGGCTCCGTATGAGGTGTTATATGGGCGCCCATGCAGATCACCGATTTGTTGGGAAGAAGTGGGTGATAGAAAATTGTTCGGCCTGGAGTTGGTGGAGGAGACCACGTCTAAAATAGTTAAAATCAGAAAGAACATTCAGACGGCTCAGAGTAGGCATAAGAGTTATGCGGACACCCAGAGGAGAGATTTAGCGTTTGAGCAAAGCGATCGGGTGTTCCTTAAGGTCACTTCTTTCAAGGGAATTAGTAAGTTCGGCAGGAGGGAAAAATTAAACCCCCGATTTATTGGACCATTTGAAGTCTTAGACAGAATTGGTACTGCCACCTATAGACTAGCACTGCCTCCAGAGCTCTTCAAGGTCCACAATGTGTTCCATGTATCCATGCTACGTAAGTACAACCCGGACCCCTCTCATATCTTGGCTCATGAATCGTTTCCACTCTAAGAGGACTTATCTTATGAGGAAGTACCAGTCGGTATCACGGATCAAAAGAGCATAATACTCCGCAATCAAAAAATATCATTTATAAAGGTATTGTGGCAGAACCACTCGCCAAGGGAGGCTACCTGGGAGCTAGAATCAGACTTTAGAGCCCAGTATCCCCATTTGTTCGACCAAGAATAAGAGGCAAATTTGAAGGACCAAATTTCTTAAGGGGGGGAGAGTTGGAACACCCAAACCTTTTATTATTATTATTTTTATTTTTATTGGAATTATTTTGGTTTTATTTCATTTTAATAATTAATTTATTTTGTAATAATTATATGTTTTAATTTAATTTAATTTAATAGAAATAAAAAAACAATAATAATGATAAATTGAGATAAAATTATTTTTGGGAATTAATTGAAAATGATTTTGGAAAAAATGGGTGAAAATTTGGATTCTGAAGGTGTTTTTAAAAAGAAAATCGAAAACCGGGGGTCAAAACGTAATTTAAAAAATAGCACCACGTCAGCAGCCCGGTTAGCAGCCCCGGCCAACCAGGACACGCCGCGTGGCAGGGATGCTGATGCGGGGAGCCACGTGGGCGATCTGCGTGCGCGCGATCGGACGGCCCAGATCCGTTCCCGCGCGCACGGACGACCCAGATCAAAAGCACGTGCGGACGGCCCAGATTTTACGCGTGCGGATGGCCTAGATTGAATCACCCACGGACGGCCCAGATTCATTTTTAATTTAATCGCGATTGAACGGTTTAGATTAAATCATGATGGACAGCTCAGATTAAAAGGAGAAGATTATAAATAACCTCACTCACACCCAACCCCAAACCCTAGCCGCCAGAGCCCTCGCCGGAGAAGACGACCCAGCCACCGGAGGAACCGGCCGCCACCACCCCCCGCTGCACTAGAGCACTTTCCAGCCGCCAAACGAGGTAAAATTTCTTTCCATGGCTCGATTTTCGATGCTGAATCCACCTGTGGCCAAATCGGAGCTAAACCACCAGCCAATTGGCTAGAAAACACTGCCGAAGCCCAGCGGCGTTACTGCGGGTTTTCTCAATTTTTGCCTCCGATGAGGCTCTTTCTGGTTCCCGTTCGATGTAATTTTTACACCACTGTAACCACCATCCTTTTCTCTACAAGTTGACTAGAGCAAAACATCAAATCGCAACTCGCGCCGGAGGAGCCACCGTACCCGAGAGCTCCGCCGCGGGTAAGTCTCGATTTTCTAGATTTTTTTGGCCCACTGAGGGCTCTAGGAGTATTTTATCATAGGAACCAATGCAAGTTTGGTCGAATTCGACTGAAAACAGTCAGAAACAGCTAACCCGAGGAGAATCGCCGATGTGGGCGGCGTCATCGGAGCACGGCGGAGCCGCCGTGTCGTAATTCTGAAATTGGCCGAAAAGGCCCTGTGTCTGATTTGGGGTTGTTTGGGGACATGTACAGGTATCAAAAGTGTGTTTCAGTTTTCGGAAAAAAAATTCAGAGAATCTAGGGACTGCCCGTTGGCGCAATGAGATCCTGATTTCAGATTCCGAAACAAGTAAGGATCTCTCACCCTATTTCCTATTATAGCATTAAAGTTTAATAAATGATAAAATTGTATGTTATGAATTAATAGATATGTATAATTAATTAAAGTTGCTAATGGAGCCCGAATCTAATGTATTTTTTGGTCAGGTGTTGTTTGATTTATTTTATAGTTTTGAATGCAGTATGGTGCCTAATGTGTTTATTTTATGGTTTCGTATGCATGAATCACGGTTTCATTTATTATAGTTTGAATCATTGTGAACCCGATGTTGTGTTGCCTTATTTGGTGTCCATTATTAGTTTACGTGTTTATGTTTAATTGGATAATTGAGATTAAGAAAAATCGAAAAAGGTATGTGAATTGATAAATGGATAATGTCGACAGCCTAACTAGATATTCTAAGAGATGGTGAACGGACCGGGTCCATAGGGAACTCTACCGAGAACGTGGTCTCTCATATTGGATGGGGTATGGAGACTTTATGTGTTTTGGCGCCCATACCGGACGGGGTATGGGAACGGCCCTAGAATTAAGTTATTAATGTAAATGATTCACGTGTAGCTGAGACCCCTTATGGATTCCCATGGATACTAGTAGGCTGATAAAAGATGAAATTTTTTGTCTGATGATTGAAATACAAAAGTATGATATGTGTTATATTACAGAGTGTGCATGATCTTATGATGTTTATGATGTTATTGTTTATCATAAGTTGTTTTCATAAATCTCACTAAGGTAAATTGATAGAAAAGATTTTTATTATTGATAAATGAATTGGTTATGAATTATACTCTATTGGTCCTTTTTGTTTTCTACCAACCTTTATTACTGTGACAGTAAGATAGTGTGACATATTTACTGGACTAGTGTACCTCATTCCTTACTTAACTATTTCAGATCAGGAGGACTTGGTTCCCGAGCCTGTTCCGCAGGAAGACGGCGAATAGAAGTTTAAAGATTTCATAGTTTTATTTATAACATTCATTTATAATATTTACTTTATTTAGTTTATTCTTTTATACGTTTAGTACGTTTGAATTATTGTGTAAGAGATATTAATCAAAAATTTTATTCTACTTTCGCAATTAGAATTTTTCTTATATATACATTTTTTTTTAAATTCCGGAACCCGTTACAAATATGTATAAATTATTTAAATTATTATATGCTAATTTAATAATTAAACTTTTTTTTATCATCAAACTAAAAACTATAGTTTATCAATGATCAATAAAATACTATGTAACTGCATAATTGTTTTTTAAAATAAAATAATTATAAAATATAAAGTCTTGTTAAATATATAATTTTAAAATTTTTTAAAAAAATTCCAAGGAACTAAGAATATCAGCGTAGATAATAAAAAACTGCATTCCCACTCAAGGCCACGACGAAAACCAGTGTAAATAAAAGATCTACGACTTAAAAAAGAAGATTCTTTTCTTATCTCAATAAAAAGATGATTCGCTTCCCACCCAAGTCTATGATTCCTTCCTTCTCTCACACTTCTTTTTTAAAAAATCTGCAGCTGTACACGAAATCAACAAGAAGGTGATCGAGCGAAAGCATCAACAAAGCAAAAAATTTCTGAAGCGAAAAGCTCTAAATCATGGGAGGAGTCAATGCTTGTCAAAAGGGAAAGCAGAAAAAAAGCTCCGACGATCAACGCATGAAAAACCATGCAGCGGGAAGTACGGACACGGCCACCGTTGACGGGTTTGACAAAGCTCACCAGGTGTTTGATAATACGCCGACGACATATCCGGCCGGAGCTGCTCGAACGGTTTTCGAATCGCTCATGAACAAGGAAAATGGAGACCGGGTAGCAGCCAAGTCCGAGCCTACAAAGAACTCAACGCAGCCCAATGACATTTACCCCGACGACGCTTTTAATTATCAGCATACGCAAGGAGCTGCGGCTGGACCAAGTTTTGTTAACAGAGGCAATATCGGCTCCCAGAACAACACAACCGGTGATTATAATAGAGTGGATGCTCGGGTCACCGGACCCGTCACCTTCTCCCATCCAACCACAGACAAGTATTACACACCCACTTCTCCATAACATGTTATATATACATACACATACATTTCTATATTACTAATTACTTGACTCTTTCTGTTTCACTTAATTAGGGGATATGAGCATGTACCTCTCTTTTTTTTTACTGGGTGTATATACATATATATATATATGGAGAAATATGGAGATTTAATGGCGATATCAAGTCGCAAGATGTTTCTTCTCCAACAAAACCAACATATTGGTAGTTTTCAAATAGTATATATATGTATATATAAACATTAACCACCTGAAGGCAGCACTTAAAGTCACATTATACAGAACAAGCTAGACTTAAGGACTGCAATCTGACAAAAACAAAAGATATACACACGCATAGATCGTCGACCACCGTTCTTCTATATGCTATAAGTGGATGCAGCTTCGGATTGGAGCTTGCTGTCGGTCTCCCTGAGTTCAGTCTTGAGCCCGCTGCCTCCCCCATTAGCCAGAGGGTGTATCCCATGATCAGGCCCTGACATGTATCCTCTACTCTCCCTCTGCTTTTCAAAAGACACCCCGAACCTCTCCTCAACATCTGCACGCCATTAAAATTCATAAACTGAACTATCTATTTTTGGTTATATATATATATATATGTTATGCGTGTATGTATTATACCTTTGATATTGTGGTCATATATCTGGCCATCTCTAGTAACAGCCATCAAGATATTAGGGATGCCAAGAGGCAGGTTGTCTCCCTGATCGATCTGCCAGAACTGAAACACTTTTCCATAAGTCTTGCAAACTTTTTCAAGGTCCATCCTCTCAATAGGACCCGGCACGCCGGGTATGAAAAGCATCCCGCTCTTCACCTCGAACTCGTGTGAGTGCCAGAGCTTCTTCTCATCATCCGGCAACGTCAAGAACAGATTCTCCGATATTATGTACTCCACTCCGACCAGCCGGGCGTCCGCCGCCGGGCTGTCGTACAATAGACACTGCCTCATTTCCTCGTTCTGGTGCCCACAGAAGTGGTGCGCCTCCACTTGGCGGGTCATATCGTGCGCGTAAAAATGGAACCTGCAGGTAGATCAAAATCAACGCAGTATATTTACTTTCGTGCTAATTAAAAACTGGGCTGCTTTGGAACTAATTGAGCCGAGTTAGAAATCATGAGGGTTTACGCGCATAGGTGTTGGTGGATGGAGTTTATGGGAGCGAAGCCCTGCATAGTAGCAGTTACAGTCTCGAGAACGGCGGTGCCTGTGTGAGTTGGCTCGCCTGCGGTTTTTGGCTGGCTTTCCATCCCTTATTAGATATTGTCGTCCCTTGAACTTTTGTTTTTCCTGTAAATTTTCTTCCTCACCAAAAAATGAGGATCGAAGAAGAGAATTTAAAAAATCATCGGCTTCGAATTTCCAGTGATCGGCGTTACATGCAGACTTGCAGTGCAACATGTGGCAGGACATACGACGGATGTGGCTTCAGGCCTTGTAACGTGGCGCTTCACGTGGCTTCTCTCTATGGCAATTACTAATCTAAATCTATTATTGCTCTGTGGGCGGGTCCAGTCCGTTCCGGGCCGGGCCTGGTTTGGGCACCATTGGTTCTATTTGGAAAGCCAATTAAATAAACTATAAAAATTCATTACTAAATCAATCATTATTTTATAAATAGTTATTTATGATAAGTAGGTAATTTAATTTCAAATAATATTCGTTGTTTGTTTTAAAAATAAATTTTTAATTTAATAAAATACGATGATAATCAAATATAATGTCAATTAATAATTTTTTTTATTTTTCTTGTTAGAGATATAATTAACGTATACGGAATATTAGAGATAGAATTACCGTACATAGACAAAGACTAATTACATGCAAAATTAGAAAAATAGTTATGGTAATTTTTTCTTCTTAAATTAAACTACAAACGACAGCGTGAAGTAAATCCAAAAGAAATTTTATGGCCGTTTACTAAAACGACAGAACATTCCAAACAAAACGCGAGATAGTGGTACGTACAGTTAGCTACTGCGTATCAATGTTGACTTTCGAACTAGCCGAGTGGTTTCTCCCGTCAGCACCACGTGGACCCGACCCGACAAATCGCAATTAACATATTTGTTTATGAAGAAATGTGTGCTACGCGCGCTTCATCTCTTTGACAAATTCATTCTCAGTCACGCGCGTCAACGACTTGACAGCCTCATTCTCTGCCACGCGCGTCTTTCTCTTTCAACTTATATTTTTGTTCTCTAAGAATTTCTTCTTCGACTTTTCAACTTCGCCTTCAAATTTCAATAAATAAATTTGGGTTTTCAATTTCTTTACGTCTCTTATTCTGTAACTCAAACACTTTTTTGCTGCTGCAATTAATTTTTCCTTCGGTCTAAAATGGTTTTTTATTATTTTTATAATTTTTGTTTCTACTCCACGGTCAAAGCAATCCGTAGCACTACTATATCAATATCGTCAACAACCTATTCAAAGATATACGCCGACTTCTTCTTCTCTGCTTGTTCTTTCTTCTCATCGTTGTCTCTATCTCCCTGCTAAACGGTGCTGTTCTCCGACTTCTACTGATGGAGGAGCCGGAGAAGCCTGTCGAGGTCAGAGCGATGGAGGCGCTAGGGAAAGGATTTGATTTGAGCAGTGATTTTAGATTAAAATTCGCCAAGGGCTGCGATGGTGGAAGATTGGTGGTGATTGATGAGGCTAACAAGAGAGACATTGCGGTTCCTGGTGGAGCTACCATCAAGCAAGTCTCCGAGGATATTCGTCTTGATAAAGGCGACCGAATCCGTTTCAAATCCGATGTCCTTGAATTCAATCAGGTCATTATTTCATATTTTCTTGGTTGTTTAGGATAATAGCCAATCATGGACCATGGTTTAGGCTTGTTGCGTTTGCTTGCACAGTTGTTCTGGTGCTATGCAGCAGTTGCACTTTCTGCTGTACTTCACAGTAATCCTAGATTGGGGCAAATTCAATAAGATGGAATTGTGACCTAATTAATTTATGCATCACTTGCGGGTGTGTCTGATTGAAGGAAGTGTCTTTTAAGTATTTAATCGAGTGGTCTCTGTTAGAATGATATGTTCTTCTGCATCTGAACTGAAATTGCGGCTATTGGGCTTTTAGTACAGTTTTCTACAGTTTTTTTTTTTGGGTTCAATGTTGTTATTATTTTCTACATTTGTAAGATATAGACTTCTTAGAGGAAGCTGATTATAGAGGCAGATTGTGTTGAGGAAAATGATTATAGCACTCAGCAGATAGGGTGTATTTTAGTTTCATCTAATCCAAGAATTTCCTGGGCTTGAGTTAGTTAGCATGAATCATGAACTTCTGAATGTGTAAGAGTTAGTTTTCACTGGGGTTACTTATTTTTTCCCTTCAGCTTTGGCATGTTATACTCTTTTTTTTTGGTTGAGAACCTCTGAGAACTGTTGATGGTCTAAGGCGGTTTTAGAATGGAAGGAATTGGAATAAAACATGATTCTTAAATTTTTTACTAAGGACTTCAAGCCAAAAGATACACTTAACTACTTTTCTTTCAAAGTGTAACATGCCCACCTATCCTGGATAGCAAATTATGTTGTTTCACCTCCACAAGGTCTAGGTTCCTGCCAGCTGATGGATTTATTTAGGGGAGGATGGAAATATATTGCATGAGTTTGCCCCTTTTAAATGTTGAATTGGTTCATCTATTCTCTGTTTACTTTTGTTTCCTTTTAAACAATTTTCCTTTTCCAGAGCAAAAACTCTGAAATATGAGATTGGAGTTCTATAAGGACAACCAATATGTTGGTTTGTGTCTATTTTAAGGGTAGCCATGTGACAGCAAGACTTCATCTTCTGCAGTAGTTGCTATAACATCACAATGGTCATTAATAGCAAACGTTTTTACTTCCTTTTTCTTTTTGTCGCTTAGGTTTGTTTGCTACCTATTGGTTTCTTTTATCATGTGTTGTGAGATCATCCACTATTAAGAAATAAAGCAAAAGAAAATACTATTTGTATGTCATTACATTTTACTTCAAAGCCTCTCATCTTCTTTCCCATCCATGCTAAGACATTTTAATTTTAAGCACTGTGTTCATGGCTGTTTTATCATGTCTGCTTCAATACTATTTTACCCTTGCAGATGTCTGAGCTACTTAATCAGAAATCTTCAGTACAAGGAAAAATTCCTTCAGGCTATTTTAATGCTGTTTTTGATTTAAGTGGAGACTGGTATCATGATGCTGGGGATGCCAAATATCTTGCGTTTGATGGTTACTTCATTTCATTGTATTATTTTCACTTAACAGCATCCCCGCTAATACTGCAAGAAAAAGTGAAGAAGGCTGTTCCATCTCACTGGGATCCAGCGTCATTATCTAGGTACCATCTTTACATTCTCAATGTAATTGACATTATGAAAGCAAATATGTGGCATGGAAGAAAGAATTTGCACAAATTATTGTTCAGAGTGTGTACCCTGCAACACTTCTCCTTTTCTTTGATATCATTTCCCTTAAGCTTGAACAACTAAATCTTAACAAAAAATGTTAATTTTTTAAAACAAAGTATCACAAAATTGCGGAAACAGTCGTGAGGTCACCCTAATGTAAAAAGAATTCATATTTTAAGAATTCAGGCAAAAGTCTCCTATTTTGACATTAAACCTGAACTCCT